CTGATATATCTAAGGCATTGATAATTTAACATTGATTTATAATAAATATCATTTAATGCTCTGATTTCTAATTTCATGCCATGAATACAATTTCTTCATCAACTGAAAATAACCAATAATCATGTTAGGAAAGAGGAGGTAAAGTTATATTCTTTACTCAATACATTTCATTAATATCTTTCTGCGATCACTTTTTTTAATCTTATGTAGGCTATGTATATTGTTATATTAAAAATGTCCTTGAAAATTGTGCATTCACAAATAGCTAAGGCATTCATCTATAATTTAACATTGATTTATAATAATTATGATATATCTGCCTTTATCATAATCAAAAAGTTATTTCTAGCCTACTTACTATTATTAACATTATTTAAATTCAAACATTTCAGCTGTATATTAAAACGTCACTTTTTTGTCGCTTTTCAGTTTTGACTATGATTTTCTTTACTATTATTATTGTTATTATTTATCGCATGACTAATGGGGACATCTAAACGCCCATGCCTGTTTCCTTTTCTTTTTCTTACGCCAATTCTTTCTTTTCGATTGGTTGGAGGACTAAAGATCGGAAGTAGTTTATTTATGCTAATGAGGAATTGGGGGTTGTAGATATTTACGTTCAACGGGAGCCGCCCTTCATTCACCCACATGGTTCACGGCAGGTCGCGTTCGCGCCACTTTTGCATTTTTACTATGATCAAGAAAGTCGTTTTAGGAGAAGTTTAATTTCGCTTTGCACGCGCGCCGCGAGCGTTGCACTCGATCGCGGTCCTACTTTTAAGTTTACGCACCAGTTTCGCAGATTTGTCCAGAGCAGTGGCTGTAAACGGCAAGTGAGTGAAGATGGTGGATTTCACTGGTGAGTGTCTTACTGTGCGTTATTGACTAGGAACCTGTTGTTAATGTTTTCTCGCTTCTAGTCTCACAAATTCAATCGCGTTTTCCCGCTTAAACGCATGCGAGATGATTTCCGCGCATGATTTCGTAACTCGGCTATTGCAAGCGGCGACGGTGGTGAGACAAACAATGTAGTAAGTGGCGCATGGTAGTCCTCTCCACCTCCATAGTTGTGGAGAATGTGGGAGATTTGAAAAGCATGCTTGCTGCAATGCAACTACCAACTATTTTATTTCACCGCACGCCTGCGCGATATGCTATAATCCGCATCATTAATACGCGTTCGCGTAGTGGAATGCGAATTAAGTTGTTTTTAGACTTGTAGAGTGATGTTTTCTCGTTCTGTTGCGCGTGCGAGTTAAAGTGCCTCCAGAACAAAGCAGTAGCACATGGGGGGATGCGTAGGCCGCGCGCGCACAGGCTAGCTTAGCAACGGCGCGCGGGACAAAAACTCCCCTCTGTGTGCGATTACGTTCTGTTTTAAGTTTAAGAGTACGTGTGAAATGTTGTTTAAAATTATTAAAGCTAAATCTCTTGTTGGTTTTTAATCGAGATAAGTTTTAACAGGGAATGGATGGATCTAGCCTGCACTAGCCATTGTAGTTTAACTGCTAACTTGGCTAGTTTCACTTCGTGTAAATAACACTAACACCATTTTTGGTCGACGTTAAAACATTTCGTTGTTTTTAATATTTATTGAATTTGTGTTTAAGACCGAATCCTAGCCAGCTACCTTAGCATTAGCTGCTATCGCTGTCCTCAATATCGATTGTACGCGAAATCAACAGCGCGCCACTTTATTTCCCAAACCTATTTTGTTGTTTATACCTGTTTGACACATGAAACGTATTATTTGTTGTCTATCATAGTAGTTTTTATGCGAAGAATGATCCGGTTCGTGAACTCAACGGCGCCATGTTAGTGCAGATTGTTTCGTGTTGGGGGGAGGGGTGATCGGGTAGCGTCTAACTGCGCATGCGTCACACCGTCCGACGGCGCGCGCGGTCCGCAGGCTGCGCAATTCTATCACTCGCTCAACTCTAGTTCTCATAACTTGGAAATTGATTGTGAAATGCACCTTCTAAAACGGAGGGAGCGAAGTAGGTAATGATGGTTTGGTGGAGTTGGCTTTTTTAAACGAGTGATACACCGTCAAAGTTGGATATGCATAGTACCGCAGTGCCCGTGTGACATGTGCTTTGCCATGAGGCCCTCGCTCTTGTACTACTAGCCGATAGAAAGTCAATCCCATTTACTAGTTTTCTCTTTTGAATCTGAATTATCATGCAGGCAATTAACTAATTCAATTATTTCTCCTCTCTCAGAAACCTCAAGAAAGATGGGAGTAGTTCTCCGCAAGTTCTCTGGAGACTTTCATCCATGGGACTTTCTTGATGTGAGATGTGGTTGGTGTCAGTGTATTGCCAAAGTGCTTACAGTGCAGGTAGTATTATGTAATATCTACTGCAGTGGAGGCACTTCTAGCAATACACTTGGCCATTACCTTTGCCCTCCTCCAAGCACCCTTCCTCCACCAAGACGCCATACCCAACCATGGTAAAAATGTCCCAACAGGCTCAACCCAGTGTTTGAGTAGTAAAAATAACCCAGTGTTTTGAGTATAACGGCTTTGTGCTAAGGTGCATCTAGTGCAGATAGTGAAGTAGACTAGCACCTACTGCCCTAAGTGCTCCTTCTGGCACGAGGGACTGTGACTTGCATCCATATATTTGAATTAAGTAATTTTTACCCCTTTTTTGTTTTGTTTTTGGGTGCAGTTCTCTGCTAGTTTTGCATAGTTGCACTACAAGAAAACGGGAGTTGTGCAAATCTATGCAAAACTGATGGTGGCCTGCTGCTTCTCCACGTTTCCCAATTTTGATTTTAAATCTGAGGTGTCTTATTTTCTTTGTTTCTTGTAAATCGGCCTGTCAGTGTGTTAGTTTCAGCAGTGCTAAAGTGCTTATAGTGCAGGTAGTATTTCTGTCATCTACTGCAGTGTGAGCACTTGAAGTACTTCTAGCTAAATGCATCTGGGATCTGAAGACTTTTGCAAGCACTCCCAGGGTCTCTGTACACTCTCTAACTTTGCTGGACCCCGGTCAGTTTTGCTGGTTTGCATTCAGCTTTTAAGACAGCGCTGTGCAAATCCATGCAAAACTGACCGTGGCAGCACACATCCGAGAACATCTTTGGAGCCGTTTGGTCCCTTTCTGCACAGGTTGGGATTGGTAGCAATGCTGTGTTTGGAAGGTATTGCACTTGTCCCGGCCTGTAGAGGATTGAGGAGATTGTACCCCACAAGTACGTTTTTGTTGTTGGAAGTTCCAACATGTATATAAATGTGTGTGTGTATGTATATATATATATATATATATATATATATATATATATATATATCCCAAAGACTCAATATATTTTATAACGACTTGTTAAGACTTAAAATGCTGTGATTTTTAAATGACATATGTTCAATAAAATATAAAGAGGTACATTATCTTGCTTTTGTCTTTATTCTGTCATATGTTCTCACTAACTTTTACACTTTTTCAGCATGCAATATGTAAAGGTGTGACTTTTGGGCTTTTAATTAACCATAATTTACTAAGTGATTGGGTTGGTTTTGACTTGGACCAACATGAACAGATAAATTCAACCCTGTTGTCTATCAGCAGATCATTCGGTTTGTTAAATCCAATTACCGTATAAAAATGCAGAGTAAGTAAAGTTATCCGGCATCCCTCTTCGCAAACATGCTTAATGCAGAGGTGTGGTCTGAATGCCTATTTGTAGGGTGCATATATATAAATAAATGTGAGGTAATTGCAAGGGTTGTGTGCAAGATGTCTTTCCTATGCATGGTTTGAGTTGATGAGAAATGCATAGTGTCTGCATAAAGTAACCATTATTTACTGTGTATTTCTAGCTGAAGTTCTTTCTAATGGGACATTGCCATGGTGTCCAGCTACTGTGCAGTGGAATGCAGGGAGGTTTTGTGTGACCCACTGTAAAGATGAGCAGTACTTACATTTTAAAAAAGAGAACATGTTCTCTGAGTTTAAAATCTATTTGATGATTATCCACACAGGAAAGTATAGCATGTCTGTAAGTATTCAAAGCCTTTAAATCTGCCTGAGTGATCAGTGATGAGGATGGTCTGTATGTAAAGCTTAAATCACAATAGAATTAACTCAGATTATCATTAAAGGGATAGTTCACCCAAAAATTAAAATGTTGTCCTTCACTCACCTTCATGTCGTTCCAAGCTTGTATGAGTTTTTTATTTCTTCTGTTGAACACAAAATATATTTTGAAAAATGTTGCTAACCAGACAGCTGACGGTAGCCTACCCATTCGGTAGTATGTTGTTTTTTTCCTACTATGGAAGTCAATGGGGCCCATCAACTGTTACTGACATTCTTCAAAATATAATTTGTGTTCAACAGAAGAAAAAAAAAAACTCATACAGATCTTGAGCGTGAGTAAATTACTATTTTCATTTGAGGTGAACTAACAGGCCCCGTTCTCGGAAATGAGGTAGGCCTATGGCCTTTTCCCTGGTGAAATGAATAAGGTTGTAGTTCTTAGGAAGTGAAAGCACGTGAGTAACTGTCCATATGTAGGCCTATTATTATTTTTATATTCACATAAACTTGATAACAAACTCAAACCAGAGTTATTAAACTAGTTTCAGTACTTGTCCAGTAGATGGCTCTATTGCAACCCATTTGAGGGACTTGCACTTCTCTGGGGAAAATGATTTATTTCCAGTAATTTATCTATTACTTTGCGATGCTGATTTCAACGGCTCTGCAATCGAGCAGCTGTTGCTATGGTTACCACCTCAAGCAAAGGCGATTTATGTTTGCGAGCGTATCTACATTTAGTGCAGTCTAACTTAGTTTTTTTATATTTTTTTTATTCTTAAGAATATAAGCTGTCTTTTTGTCTTAATCAGCTGTCAAAGGTTCGGAAAATGTTGTGACACGACAAAACTATATAGGCTGCTAGTACATATTTTGTAGCATAGCCGACTACTTGTACGCTTCGTAGATCGTGAAGAAGCTTATCTTCTTCGCTTCTACACTAATGATTCCGCCCATTCTCTCTTGACAGCTCCGTCTTTCACCAACACACTCATTGCGCTCGTTTTGAAGGTCCTGCGCTAGACCCTCCCCAAGAGACATGCTCAATCTCTCAAATATATATATTCTCCTAAAATCACCGCTGGTTTTATTAAACAAGTTTTCCGAGATCTAAACGACGCGCCCGCGTTTCTAATTTTTACCCGAACGGACAAACTCTTCTGTTCGGATTGTGGTTTGTGGAGATGGAGATGCGTGCTGTTTTGGTTTATGCCTTTTTAGCGGTTTTCATCGGTCCATGTCGGGGGACTTTAATGAACTGCGATGAAGTGCGTAAAGTTTTTCAACTCAAGCAAATCGGACCTGTAAAATCACTGCCTGAAACACCGAGAACAGGTAAGATCTGACCGAATTTGACATGATGCGCCTCTGATTTTGTGTCAATTCGTTTTTGTACAGCAGAGTTTTAAACATTTATGTGAACTGGAAGAATCGCAAATAGCATAGTGTTTGTTATGCGGAAGTCTTAACGCTTTTAAAATGTAACTAATATTCAGTTACTCTGAATTAAAAGTGAAACTGGTTGTCACCTCAGGTAACTTAGGAAACTTTCCACAGGTCTAGGTATCGAACATGTAAAAGATTTGAATACTGTTATAAACTCCGCGATATTGACCCAACATAATTCATCTCTTGATATATTGACTTCAAATGACGCTTTCAAGACGTTTTAGACAAAATGATAGCCGTGGGGCGCGTTTACCGGCTTTAGAAGTTTGAGCTGGTAAATAATCATCGTCTCGAAAGACTGCCTGACGCACATTACTTTTCACATAAACTTTTCAAATAATGTCTCATGGAGCAGTTCTTCTAACAACTTAAGGCAAGACACCCCAGGTGAATTGGGTACAACAAATAATTAACTACTATAGATATCATCATATTTCCCCAGTTGACTGATTACATGAAGAATTGCACAAATAAAATCAGGCAAATTATATATGAACAAACCCCTCTGTAAAAACCTTCAGAATATAGATAGGATTGAAACTGTTTGATGTATGTAAAGCTCCTGAGGTGGAGATTTCTGGCTCAGTGCAGGAGAAAAAAACTCATTTTCAGTAAACTAAAGCTATGTACTGGAGGCCTAATTGAAAAATACTGACACGAATAGATAATGGGCCATAAAATATGCACTTAAAAGTGTATTTTGGATGTTGTCTGAAAAAAACAAGTTATGAAAAGCCCAAAATCTCAAAATTGACAGATGCATAAAAAAACGTTTTTGTCTGTAGTGTATCGCCTTAAACTTGTACTTCCCCCCGAAAGACTTCAAAGATTTTCCATTTACTTTCATGAAAACACATTTACTAAAATAATTTGGAAGTAGATCATCTGAAATTGGCTGGAAGATTATGCAGTCGCTGCTTTTAAGTTTTCAGGATTTGTATGCAACTTATCCTGTAAGGAAATTGAGATAAATGGCCCTATGGAAATATTTCCTTGAGTAAGCTAATATTTTGCTGTTGGTATATATGCACAAGCAGGTTAACAAAACGATGGAAATGAGTTGAGACTGAAGGGTTGTCATCACCCTCAAACTGAGATTTAAAGGGATAGTTCACCCAAAAATGAAAACTCTGTCGTCATTTACTCACCCTCATGTGGTTCCAAACCTGTATGAGTTTCTCTTTTCTGCTAAACCCAAAAGAAAATATTTGTAAGAATGTTGGTAACCAGACAGCTTTCTGGTTACCAACATTCTTCAAAATATCTTCTTTTGTGTTCGACAGAAAAAAGAAACTCATACATATTTGGAAGAACTTGAGGGTGAGTAAATAATGACAGAATGTTCATTTTTAGGTGAACTATCCCTTTAAAATCAGTTCAAAGTTTCCTCAAATCACTCGTCAAGATCAAGTATACTAATCTCAGTGTACTTCAGAAAAGCTCATGCCACTTGACTGCAAAATACAACCATAATTAGTTGCAAATGCACTGTTTGGTTTAAACAGCTGTCATGTAAATCTCTGAGGACTGTTTGGTTTGTGACCTCTGAGCCCGTTGAATGGTCTTTGTCAGGTTGTTTGGATAATCGTCCCATTTTGCTATTTCTGATCTGAAACTAGTTTAGTGACCTCTCTAATAATGGACGGTGATGGTCTTGCTCATATCCAAAGGAAAGGGCTTTAACCAGTTTGACAAACTTTGCTGGGTTAATGGATGCTAAGTGGCTTGAGGAGAACAGCTTGTACACTGTTTCCCACAGAGGTCATCAAATTGAGCTCACTTCAAAGTGCTGCTTGGAAGAGGTTCGCTTCTGAGTTTTACAGGAATTTAGAGCTGTGGTTTGCTATTAAACTTTTGCACAACTCGAAAAACCCTCCAGGAAAGGTGTTTCCTCATTGCTCATCCTGAACTTCAGAGGTTTTTGGTTGGGAGCTGTTAAACACAGAAGTTATTTTTCATGTTCAGTTTTACTTTCATAAGAGATTATGAAATGATATTTGATTAGATCAATCAGTTAGTGAGTTAGAATTGTGCGCATTTAACAGCCTCTTTTAAATGCATTTGTTCACAAGTTGATGTCTTGACATAGGCCACAAGGTCAAGTGTCATCTTGTTTAAGGTCTGTTTCTCTATAGCTTTTCAGCAGAATAATGTAACTCTTCCTACATTGGCTTCATTTTCTTCGATCTTTTTGGAAAAAAAGTTGCTTTTTTAGATTATTCAGTTAATGTGGATTTTGGTTAGCTTTCTTTGGGTTCAGTAGAGATAATTTTGCCTAAATTTGCAGGTTTCGAGAAAACATTAATAAATTCATTGTTAGGCATGCATATTGTTGAATTCAATTCTACTTTTATATGTATATCTGCAGAAACCGGTGCATGGTTTCATGCTTTCTTTTCTGCTCATCATGATAAATGTGCAGTGACTGAAATGCTATCCATGACAGACTAAGTTTGACCTCGTTGAAGGTGTTTGTTCATCATCATTTTGTTTTCTACGACCCAATAGGTGTGCTGCCAACACAACTTTAGATGGACTTGCATCCTGCCTTTTTTGCCATCTTTCCCATCACCCCACTTTTTCATTCGGTTTCATGTAATAAAGCAATGTGTTCAAATCACTCTATTTTTATGAGTTTACCTGACCGGTTCGGTTTTATTAAAGAATAAACAAGACAGGTAAAAAGGTAAAAGATTCTTGAAGGTCATACTTTTATTGCAGATTTCTAAATGCTGCTGAATTTTTCTTCTCTTCGCTTCCGATCTTGGATGTTAGTAGCGATGCGAACTGTTTGATGTCCAGCAAGTTTCCAGGCCAATTATATCCCACACCACATGACCCCTTGTAAGGGCTAAGGTCCTGAAACATCAAATAAACTGACCACCATAGTGAGTGAATAAAAAAGCAAAAATAGTCACATTGACATTTAAATGATTCCTCTAAGGTGTTTATTTCTGTACGTTAACATTACTCTAGCAGTGGCATGCATGCCAGACATTTTTCTTGTTAACTAGGCCTGTTGTAATCCTAAGGCCATGGTCAGAGAAGCTTGTAAAAAGCACTGACCGTCTTTTCTAAATGACGCTTTTCATTGCTTCTCTCAGACCCCTGAAACAAACACACTTTCTGTCTGCTAGCAAAGCCTCACGGTGCATTTGTTAAGTTTTGATCAATCTTGTTTTTTGTTGTAATTCCTCCAAAATGCCTTCATGTAAGAAAGTGCTGGGGATGAGTATGTTCTCTTATTTGAGTATTGTCAATGTATGGCCCTGTTTACACCTGGTATTAAGATGCGTTTTGGTCGATCGGATCACAAGTGGATGAGGCAGACACATACCCGTTTACACCTAGTGTTTTAATCCGTCTCTTTTGTCCACTTTCAAATAATTTTTATTACTTTTCATGCAAATTATGATTATGGGGCAGATTATAGCTACTTTGCTCTAATTGCATCGCGATTAATCACATCCAAAATAAAAGTTTGTGTTTACGGTACATAATATATGTGTGTGTACTGTGTATAATTATTTTTAATACATAAATACCCACACGTGCATGTTTATTTAAGAAATATTTGCATGTATATCGACTGAATGTAGCCTATATAATGTATATTTTATATAAATATAAACATTTTATATATAAATAACATATTTTTCTTAAATATATACATGTGTGCATTTATATACAAAATAATTATACACAGTACACACACATATATTATGTAAACACAAACTTTTATTTTGGATGCGATTAATCGTGATTAATCGTTTGACAGCCCTACTCAATACACTTTTACCATATTGCATGATTTGGAAACTTTGAATTTTGACGTATCACATAACCAGCTCCATTTGTATGGCTTTTAGCACACTTGCTCAGGAGCTCACCTACAGCACTTCATTTGCGAGTCACGATAAAAAAAGCTCTAAGACTCGTTGAAACAAGCTACAATGGCATGATTGCTTCAGCAAATCGTTTGCTTTTGTTAACTCTATCGGTTAGGTTGTATGCTAATTTCATGTATGCTGCTAAGTGTTGCGAAACATGCAAGAAGCATTGTAATATCATCTTGCAGATATATTGCCACAGGTACGTTTTCCCCCTGAGCAAGGAGATTCTCTATCTGTGGTGTATCCCTTCGTTCAGTCATCTCCAACAATTCCCAAATCTCACAGCCTGTTGGATCATGTGAAACCGGGGCAAGAAAGGAGGGTGGAAAGTTCACAGTTGGATGGATTTATTCTCTCTGGTGACTACACTGAAACTTCTAGCAGGTTGTGAGTGAGAAATAAACACTTCCAGGGGCGCTTTCATTTCGCTCTAGCGAGACAGAGATGAATTCCTTTCCTCACGCCATCTCCTTTGCATCTTGCTCAGGAACTCACAACATTGCGTCACGGCGTGGTGATAGTGTCTTTGGCAACACTTGGCTCGTCCCGGCACGTCCCGTGCTGTTTTCCTAGCTATAGCCCCCCCACTGAAAAAAAATTTGGAGTAGGATTTACTTGAAAAAAGCTAGGTAACTTTTTTCACTCAGAAAATGCTAGTAAATTTACAACGATTTGCCAGGTAAAAACCTAAACATATTTATCAGTAGCTTTAATTAGAAATATTCAAGTTAAATTTACTTGGAATATGGAATTAAGTAAACTTTACTTAACCTCGTCAAGTGAAAGTAACAAAGAAAATAAGAAATTTTTACTTGGCTAGTAAAAGGTTGAGTAATATCAATTTAGTTGAAATTTCCTTTGCATTACATTTCACTCAAACAATAATATTGAATTATACCACCAGTATGTGCTTTACTTGGAACTTCTAAGTAATTTATACTACATCATGTCAGATGTTAAACATCATGTGAATGCAAAGACCTCAATACTTGGTAGAAAATTCACAATGACGGTAACATTTGATGGATCGTTTTTGTGTTTGAATGTGTCATTTTGAGCAGAAAATTTACTCGAAATGTCACAAAATGGCAAGTTACTATAATCCTAACAACAAAAGCAATTATAAAACAGTGTAAATACAGCTGGAAACCAGTGAAAAATCAACCTCATTAATTAATCAAGGTCCAGTGCATGATGGGAACCCCAGTATCAGAAAAGTTGTGTAATTTTTACTTAATTTTATTAAGTTGATATTTACGCTTTCGTTTCTACTCGCTTGAATTAAGTACTGATATGGAATTTACTTAGTTTTTTTAATTCTTGCCTGAACTAACTTTTTCATGTAAATTACATTGTTTTTTTCAGTAGTATTTACTTCACCACAAAATCATTTTTTACAGTGTAGGTGCTGTCATTTGCATTGACCTTTTTGGGAGAAAAAGTTTTTTTTCTTATGTAGTGATGGAAAGTTTTTTGTCGGATCTCAGTGGAATAAGAATTTTGATGTTGGAGATATCAAGCCCTATCACCCTCCCCACCCTGCTGGCCTGCTGCAGCTTGCATACGTGTGGAGGTTTGTGGCCACCCGGTGGGAGTGTGAGTCTGATAATGGTCCTTAACGTGAGTGGAGTTGTGAACCTTTGTAGTTCATGTATGTTTGTGATGTCTCTTGTTATGTCAGTTTGTACTTTATTGTTGATGCTGCTTAAATTGCCATGTGAAGGGACAAAAAAGACCACTATTACTACTCTTACTAAAGATGCTGTAAAAAAAATGTTCATGTTTTTGTTTGTGTTTGCTCATACAAAACTCACTGACACATTTTTTGCCAGGATGTTGGTGTGATATGATGTTGCTGATAGTCAGATACTGGTTCAGGTGTCTGTGATATTTTTGTTGAAATTTACATGGACCCTAAGAATTTCTTTTCTTTTCTTTATTTTTACATTTATTTGTATCCCTTTTTATAATCAATTTTTATGAAGCCAGGTGTAAATCATGACTCATCACTTTGGAAAATAACAGCACACCTATATATAATTATTATTATTATACAGAATATTTTTGTTGTTCCTGCAAGTCTAGTGAGGAAGTTTGTTCAAATAGTAAAACAAAATTGGTCACACTTTAGTTTAATTTCTCACTATTATGCCTCAATAAACTCCTACTGCTTAATAATAGTTAGTAAGGTAGTTGTTAAGTTTAGGTATTGGGTAGGATTAAAGGGTAGTTACCCCCCAAAAAAAAAAAAAAATGCCATTACTTACTGCCCCTCAAGTTGTTTCAAACCTGAATGAGTTTCTTTCTTCTGTTGGACACAAAAGAATATATATGTTAAAGAATGTTGGTCACAGTTGATGGACCCCATTGACTTCCATAGGAAAAAAACATACTATGGAAGTCAGTTTACAGATTGTTCTGTAAATATATATAAAATACTGAATCTTCCTGGCACCACAGCTGGTAGTTTATTTGTCTGTAAAAATGACAGTATGAGAAATATTAGAGATGCTTGCCCCTATAAGTACTAAGGATCATTTCATACAACTTAAATGCACATTACCACCATAATTAACAATCCTAAACTTTGTTTGTTTATCCCAACAGGTTCAGACCTCCAGGTTTGTTTATCAAAAAATGTAACGTGCTGCACTAAGAAGATGGAGGAGCGTTACCAGGTGGCGGCACGACGGGACATCCAGAACCTTCTCCAGACGTCCAGCTCAAGTCTGAAGTTCCTCATCTCACGCAATGTGGCTGCTTTTCAAGGTTAGTTGATTGATTTTAGAGGCTAGCACTGGTATATTGTCTGCCACTCTCAGTAAACGCTTCCTGAATTCTCTTACCACATGTTGTGTGTTATTCTTTAGTTTATAAGCTTATGAGAAATCTGAAAGATCGTTTTTTGTACAGTTTATCCAACACCTTAGAGTCACTTCATGCTTGGCAGGTTGTAGTGTTGTTGTTTGGTATGATGTCAGTTTTATTCCAGACATTTTACTACAGTAAATTATTACCACGGTATACTTTTCCCTGAGACCCACAATATGTGATTTAGTTCCCTGGTGGCTCTCCAAGGGCTTAATTCTGCTGCTTTTCAGTACATTTCAGGTTTACCAGTGTTCATTTAAAGGTTTTCAATGAATGGCTTCCTTGATGAGCTGTACACCAAGATGCTTGTTTTGAGGCCTTAATGAAACCCTTCACAGCTTCATAATGTTAGGTCATAGGAGCCTACGCACCTTTGCGGAGGAGGGTATCCTTCATTTGAACCAAATGACAAACCCGGATAACCTGTAATCACACATAAGTGCTGCTGATGCAAGAAGATGCACCGATCCTAACAAAAACCTCTCTATGTCGTCTACAGCGTATTCTCAGCAGAGCCTCTCTCTCAGGTTTCACAAAGGTGGTTAGTCAGTCAGTTTGTAGCTAGCAGCTCATGATGGGTCGGTTCATTGTGAGTGTGTGGAGTTCTTGGATTGCTGCATATGTGCCAGGAGAGTGAAGATTAAGAGTCTCCATTACAGTAAAAGTGAAGTGTCACTTTTTATGCTGACTTTGAGAGTCACAAAGGTTTTTGTTTGAGCGAGTGAGGTGATGCTTTATCTTAATCAGCTGATACTGATAGTAGATCATTGTCATTGATAACCAACGCAATTGTCATCATTATAAATCTGTAGTTGCCTACAAAAGGCAAATACAGAAAATGATTTTTAACTATTGTTACTGATATACTTCTCGAACTGCTTTGCATTTCATCCCATGTTTTTATGTAAAATTATCCTTTTGACTTTCGTCTTTGCATTTCTCTTGCATTACTGAGTTGTGACTGACAGTTCAAACGCAGGTGTAGACACGCTTCTGTTTACTGCCTACTTTGCTAGACAACATTACTGTGAGAGTTTCCCTCACAATCGAGACTATATCATTAAACCAAACCTCTTGCATTATTTCGCTTGTGGTTTAGGGCCCTTTTTATCTCAACGCAAGACCTGTTATATCACATCATTTGGAAGAATGGTATTCAGGTGGCAGTTACCATAAAAACATTTTGCACGTTTTGTTGGGCGTAAACTTGGGGAGAGCCCTGATGGTGTCTAATCACAAGACTCATTTTATGAGATTAGGCCCATATTACAGGGCCCAGTCCCAGCCTTCTGCTGTCTAACTAGCTATTACCTCTTGCCTATGATACTGAACGTTGTTGTCTTATAGGTATGAAAACAAGGGATGAAACACAGCTGAACACAAAACGTTTGAGATGGGGATGCAGAATGTAACATTAACCCTATTGATATTGGCAAAAATGTTCACCATTGGTCCAATTAGGCTAAAATTGGAAGCACTAGCAGACAATATTCTTTTGAAATGGCTTATAATTTAATGTATTCCTTTATTTCACATTGTTCTATAAGGGAAAACACTGTAATAAAAAAAAAAGATGGTCGGTTTGAAAATGTACACTACCGTTCAAAAGTTTGGGGTCAGTGAGAATTTTATTTTTATTTTTTGGAGGAAAGAAATCAATACTTTTATTTATCAAGGACAGTAAAGACATTTATAATGTTACAAAAGATTCTATTTCAAACAAATGCTGTTCTTTTGAACTTCCTATTCATCAAAGAATCCTAAAAAAACAACAACAAAAAAAACTGTACAACTGACAGACCAACAACTGTTTCAACATTGATAATAATAATAATAAATGTTTCTTGAGCATCAAATCCTCATATTATTCTGATTTGTGAAGGATCATTTGACACTGAAGACACTGACACTGGTGATGCTGAAAATTCAGCTTTGACCACAGGAATAAATTACACTTTACTATATATTCACACAGAAAACAGCTGATTTACACTGGAATAATATTTAATACTATAACTGATTTTTGTTGTATTTTTAATCAAATAAGCGCAGCCATGGTTAGCAGAAGAGAATTCTTTTAAAAGTATTTAAAATCGTACCGACCCCAAACTTTTGAACGGTAGTGTATATCAAATCAATCAAAATTCAGCCAAAAACCTTTTTCTCAGCTTCAGCGCATGTTTAGTACATTTGCCTTTATGTATATTTACCCTATTGACTATTGTGTTGGTTATCAATAAAAAAGGTTTTGTTGGAAATCCATCCTATTTTTTTATTTCTCTTTTTCCATGTGTTTTGCCGTCTTTAAACAATGAATGTGCAATATAGTGCAGCGCTGCAGAAATTACAGCGACATCTTGTTTTACTTGCTTTGATTTTGGTGGTCCAGTGAAATGCGGGTTTACCAATTTTATGAGGTTATACAGAACCCATATTATGATGCTGTTGGTTTTTGAGGAGCATAAATAGTTCTGTCTTTGAAACAAATGGGCACTTTTTCCTAATTAAGCTTTAGTTTCTGTTGGAGATGTATTCAATGTAGATGTTGTAAAGAGTTGATCGCTAGGAATTGGTCTTCAACCATGGGATACTGTGAGAAAATTTAACCACAAGGTGATGGTCTGGTTACCTACACGACTTGTTTACGTTTTAGACTATGTTCCACTTCCCCATTGTAAACCAGGCAGTCATGTGTGAACAGTGAGGGCCGTTTGTTTGCACAATTGATACTGAAGCTGTGTAAAATTCCCTCTATAAAGGGGTACTGTTTGTCCCTGCATACGTTAGATATTAATATTACCCACCTGTTACCAACAAGTCTTGCAAAACGTGTGACAATTGAGCACATTCTCCAAAATCAAACTTAAAACAAACACCATTACAGAAATTAGAAATCTGCTTAATTTTCATTGTCTCAGTGCAAATGCTCTGAACAATAGGGCTTATTTTCTTCATGCATTTGTGATTTTGAGGTGAATTACAACCTTATTTGTCGTATTGCATGCAGATTCTTTGTCTGGTTGTTGTTTATCATCTTTTGAATTACTGGCTAAAAGTTGCAGGTCTTAGGATGGTGGTTTATTCCAACCTGGTAAGATTAATAGTTGTGGTTCCCATGGAACGATGGCAAACCTCTCACGGAGTGAAAGAGAATTGACCGGCGTCTCTCTCAGTGGGCAGCAGCATATTTGCACATTGTGCGGCCGACGCGGAGACCATTTACGAGTCGAGGTTAAAGACAAACACACTCCTGTGGAGCTGGAGTCGCGGCCTCTCAGTCGGCTGAAGGTTGCTTGTTGAAAAGGCCGTCGGGTAGACATTTTCCACTTTTATTTTTTTTTTGCTTTCCCTGCATTGCCAAATGACATCAAAGTGAGCTCTGCTTCAGTAGGAGAGCTGATGGATTCGGCAGGTGATGCCGAAAACAGCAATCCGTTTCGAGACGGAGGCTGAGATAAGAGGGAAAGATGTTTTTCTTAAGAGTGTCTCACTAGTGAGAGCGAAATTGCACTGTTGAGTGAGCAAAATACCTGGAAGCCACTTGTTGAAAGAGTTGAGTGAGGAAAAATTGCCAGAATTTGTGAGGAAGCCTTTGGCTTGTTTAGTTTGATTCAAAGCAAATCACATGGAAAGTGTGAATCATCATTTTGGGAGTTATGGATTTTTTTTTTTCTGCCAAAGTTACTGCAAAGTTATTGATGTTTTGTGGTTTTGTAACATGTTGAATTGTGGAATTCCCTTAGTACCCATTGGAAAGATATCACAAACGAGAGTTTTTTTAATCTCATCCATGACAAACATTTAACATCCATGGAACTTTTCTTTTGCACAAAAGGTTTTTTAAATGTGTGAATTATTTAAAGGAGGAATATTGTGACGTGTTCGTTCCCGGAGGAAAACTCAAGACTACAATGGAGGCGTTTCAGGGAGTTCAGAAACACTGACACTGATATAGAGAAAAACTCCTGCTGGAGGAACTTTGTAGACATTTTAATGCTCAAACAACAACATTACACACTAAAGAAAGTTGAAAATGTAAAAAAGCATAATATCTTCCCATTAAGGTATTATTTATGTCTGTATTGTTACACTTATCTGAGCAGCAGTCATAATATTTGCCTTGGCCACCACCAGTAATAATTCAGTTCTGCAAATCATGCATTGATAACAAATTACATGAAAAGTCATGCACCAATGCAACAAATAATAGCCTAATCCTAAACGAAATCAATTTACATTTAAAGTGTGACTTATTCAAACTCCCTCTCCATATTTCACAGTGATATTCAAAGCTATTGGAGGCAGATATCTGCATACTGTAATGCTGATGACAAGGTCAAGGACAAGATAGGTCAACGAGCAGTCGACAGACCCCAGACCTAAATAAATAACTCATACAGTCAGTGTTCATGTCACATCGGGGAGGACGAGTTGAAAGGAAGGACTAAAGTGCCTATTTGTTAGACACAAACCCTGCAATTATGCATTTTTATTTGATACAGATGGAGACAAGGCCATGATTCATCAACCTCACAGTGAATAAAATTAAACCATCACAAAACAACAAAACAGAGTCACTTGGTACAGATAATAGTCTATTGTTCAAATATAGAGACTTAAAGGAACTTCTCTAACAATAGAACTGCTCAAAAGACAATTTTCGGCTCAAGACTAAATAGAGCTCTCAGGTGTTTAAATAGCGGTGTAAGGCATCACTGTAATGTTTATTTTAATTTTTCTATACAATAGGGTTCATACAATTTTTCATGTTAAACAACATGCATTAATGATACCTCAAAGCCCTTCACAAATCCTTCATAATATTATAATATCTGGATTTATACATTTGACAGATTGCAACTGCTTGTAAAGAACTTAACATTAAACCAAAAGGTTTA